GCTTGGTTTTATGCCCCAGAGGATACTTTCTACAGAAAATAACCATTGATTATGCCACTTTTAAAATCAAAATTAGCTAACTTAACTTCTGTTCTTTGAATGTATTTGTACCTTTTTTAAACGCTACAGTATTAAATGACTGACAAAGATAAAGAAAATTGCATACGGCAGTTTATTTTCAATTTTCTTTGATGCTCAGTTTGTGATCGAGAAGAAAGAAAGTGGCATCCTACTTGGTTGTATTACTTTACTATTTTAATTGTTCCTGTTACCCTCCATGGAGCATAGGCTGCCGACTAGAATTTTCCAACCGACTCTGTTCTGGGCTCTTCTCGTTGTTCCCTATTCCCATTCATTCTTTTGATGTTTGTCTCCGATCTGCGATGAAATGTGTTTTTCGGTATTCCTCTTTTTCTTTGGCCTTGAGGATTCCACGTTAGATCTTTCCTCAAGACGCAGTTAGGTGAATATCTGAAATGTGTCCTATCCATTTAGTCGTATTCAACTCCTATATTTTTCTCATATTCAATGAGGAATTAAAATTTACTTAGCAACCTATTATATATCACTACCCATTTCCAAAAGAGAAAACCATACCAAAACGTTCAATAATATTCTTTTAAGCTATTCAGGTCCCAAATCATTCTAAATAGCTCTAAATTATTCATCTGACCATTGAAAAATAAATGATATAAAAAGGTAAAACAATGCATTTAAAGCTTGTCATTTGTGCATAAACTACTTGTTAAACTGCCTCATTTATCGTCCCTAGTTTTATTTGTTGGAATTTAGAAAATAAACACTATTTTAACAAAAGAATAAAAAATCTTAGCACTAGAAAATGTGAAGGTATAGTACGTATATGTTTTTGAAAAACACAGACCATCACAAATACAAACTCTAAATTTTTTTGGAAATAAATTTATTCACTACTTCCATAAAGTCAATCATTTAACCATTTGGTGATAGGAATATACAGTTTTATATTGTTGTCTTTTAAGTTTAGAAACATTTTGTATGTAGAATTGACTCTTATGAATCGATTATCATGCCTTACGAAACTAAATATCTGGGAAACAATTTATCAAAAAGAAGCAATATATTTGTAATCAGCAAGACAACATAGTTCGATTAATATTACACCAATAAAACAAAAATAAGGACGACATATATATATGTAAGAACTGACAGACTGTGAAATATAATCATGTATTAGGAAAATAGATTAAAATTGATTCGCCAAGAAAAGTAATATATATATGCATACACTAAGAATTTGTCAGAACAACAATGAAGCATTTGGTTTTACATGTATATACATGCAACATCAAGCATTTACATATACATACAATTAAGAAACAAGATATATTCAGCAAGCTATGGGTAGCGAAAAACCAATTAAGCATTAAATATAACACTTATTCAATTTCAGTCATAAAACACTATTGAATCGCAAATCTCACAACTAATTAAATCATGTTTTGATAAATCTAGAGTTATGATTTAAAATTCATGAAAGTATAGAAACCATTAAACATAATAGTTGCCTAATAGTATTTTTCTCCTATTCAAAAATCCCTCAATGATTGACAATAACGTCTGCTGTTCCAAGTGTATTTTCTTAGTGAAACTCTAGATACGTTAAAATTAATCTGACAGTACTATCATGAACCTTACAAAACCCAAGTATTATTTGATTGATAATACAAATTATCATCATAACAATAGACTAAAAGTGGATGAGTCCCTTGTTATTTTTTACAGTTTAAATATGATACTGACAAATACAAAATAAAACGTTAGCAAATCGAAAACGTGTAAAGTATGCCTAATACACTATTAAAAACATTGGCGAAACTTATTATACATTGGAAGTTTTTAGTCCAGCAATGCGTGTAGATCATGAGACTCTAATTTCAATGAGCACAACTAAGAAACAAAGGTCATTGGTTACTATTTATAATTAGAAGCTACTCAAAAACTTCAGCATACAAACAACAAAACGGTGTGATTTTTGAATGTAAATAAGTAAATTGCTGAGTTCACACTGCACTACTAGGTTGTAATACTTAATGAATCTCAACCCACATACTTCACGTTGAAAAGTAAATATTGTACGTTGCTGATGGCTAACATTACATTTAGCCAGTTATCTAAAACGTAGCTGTAATCAAACACTAAGTCTTACAATATCTACAACTAATGTATAAAACGTGCCACGTATTCATTTTCTACTTGACACATTTTTAACACTAATGACGCGTTTTTTTTTCACTTACAATATAAACAACCTTTGTATCCACGGAAGATCAGTCACTTTGGTAACATGTAGATTTTAAAGAAGTTTACAACTAACGAAGCTGACAACTTTCGTATCTCCAGAGACTGTCATGATAAATCATCTGAAACTACCAATTAACCGCTCCAAAACTCCATGATAGTAGTCCCAGACCTGTTTGTAGCGAGTCAATTAGTTAAACTTTCTCAAGGAGATCGAACAAATGACAAGGTGGTCGGTTTAAAATTAAATTACCAACTTGCTTTCTAGTGTTTATAAAATCTAAGTGAAAGTCACAGGCTGTACATCTTAAAGTTATTATAAGGTGAACTGATAACTTTCGAACATCTATCTTAGTCTTATTGAAATTTTCAGTAAAAATACTAAACCTCTGATATGAATAAGAAAATAAAGTAGAAGTTACAACACAAAGCATTTCGTCAAAAAGTGCATTCATATATATCTCAAAATCGCATTTTAAAATGAACATTTATTGAAGTACTTAATGTTAAAACGATGACGACCAATTCCTATTGAAGACTAACTTACCTTCTCAGCAGTATTCTGAAAACCATACAGTATAGACCATGATAAGATTTCATCGAAAGCAAATGCGACAATGGGTTTAGATATGTATTATTTTTTTAACCAAGAAGACTAGAACTAGCCGGCAATGTGAAATATTACATTGTTAAAAATGTTTGTACGAGGAACAGTTGAATTATACTTTCGAAACATTCAAAGAACTTAGGTGTCAAAGTTTGAAGCTGATCACATAAATCCAGACACACTTTTTGGCTACCCTTTTATAATTCTTGGACACTAATATCTTTTATCTATTTGTACAATGTTGCTTGCATCTTTTTTGTATCGTTAGTTTTCATTCTATCTGATATTGTGAAGTGATTTGAACTAGTGTATTACTGTGCACCATTTTACTTACTTACTTACGCCTGTTACCCCCAATGGAGCATAGGCCGCCCACCAGTTTTTTTCTGGTTAGCGTTTTTTGGCAAGTTACTTTTTGACGGAATGGGGTTGCCAACCCCATGCCCAACCCTCCTCCTTTATCCGGGCTTGGGACAGGCAGTAGCCCCGAAGGTTCTACTGGCGGAGTTGCACCATTTTGCACTGCATATTTTTATTGTATGAGATGCATGTGATATGAACTACTTCATAACATAGAATATCGTGTTCCATATTTCTGTTTGACAAAGTTTATAAGCATAAGAGATCGCGAAATCAGCTGGACTCCATTTACATAGTATTAGCTAGGTGATCGTGGCGCTTGGCTTTCAAACAGTAGGTCGTAAGTTTTGACGCCATCCTGTCTATCCCAATGTGGGTATCCAAATACTATCAATATTCTCACAGAGAATATGGGTCAAAGTCGAGTATACAAAATCATGCGATTGGCAAATGATTAACATGATTTCCGCAACAGGTGCATCTGATGTGTAAACTCGAAAACATTATCAACACATCATAAGACTTATTCACTTCATTCTACCGGAATTTCCTTAGCGCATAATTCGAGGACAAGACAGATGATTTTATCAGAAATGAACGATAGGTATTACAGACCAGGTAAACTTTAAAACTAAAACATTACAAGCATTTCGTACTTTCGAATACATTAGGCAGTGATGCACGGCTCCGAAGTTTAGCTAAACTATTTTTAGCTACAGAGTAAAGCGTTCTAGTTTCGATCCGTTCAAAAGGTTTCGGACGAACAGATAGTATCATCAGTTCTTTTACGGCATTTTATGGTCACTAGAGCAACGAATTTACGTGAGTAGCACCACTAATTTTAGTTACATGAAAGCGATAAGTGACTCAGGTATCTTCTTTATTACTACGTTTATAAACTGTTCTTTTGAACAGAATAGGTTATTAGGCGCTAGGATTCCTTTAAGCCTATAATGCTAGGAATTCTCAAACATTTTACATAGCCTTTTTGTCTATCCGAAAGCCTTATATGAGATGAAGAAGACTTCTATATATTTATTAACGGATAACATTTGTCATGCTATCGAATATCATATTAACCTTCAGAAATCTTTTAATACTTACCTCTTCCGGGTCATCAACTTTGTAAGCAAGCTTTCCAATCGCACCACCCAAATTTTTCATCGCTTTTATCGCTGCAGCACCGGATAACAGTTGGGTGTTTGTTGCACGTGGAAGTTCTCCATCATGCTGAATAAACTCACAAACGTATTCATCAATACGCAAAACTGGATGTGAGAGTACTCGGGATAGAAATCTGTGAAATGACTAACGAAATTCTTACCGTTCTAGAGCTATCCGACGACGTTCAACAAACTCATTTTCTGTAGAAGCGTCCTTCGATATTTTAACTTTAGTTGTAGCTGAAGAATATAAGACGAAACTAAATCATTACCTAACATATCTTTAGAAGGAGCATGGGGCACGATAATTCCTTCAGAGAGATACTTCGAGACCAACCTCTCGTGAAGCCCAAGGAAATCAGAAAACCGTCTGAGGACTGAAAACTCCTTGTCATTTAACTTAAAAATAAGGTTATTTAAATCACGAACCTTGGTAATGACACGATATACTATGTATGATGAAATCCCTCCACCAACTTTTTCAGGGCTTGTGATTTTTACAAATGCGACATCGGAAACAGTATTCTGAGTTTTACTAAAATAACGCTGAACATACTTCAGTATCTTTCCTAATGTCAGCTGGTGATGAGTCATGTGCAACATTTCGTTCAGGTGTAAATCCAGTTTGCAGACAGGACTCAGAATTTAACGATACATTTAAGATGTTTTCAGAGTTTTCATTTAGCTGAGGAAAAAGCATGATTATAATAAAACACTTACATCCAGCTCAGCGAACTCATCTTCTAACATTATGTGACTCGTTGGAAAGCTAGTGCTTAAATTGTAGGAACGTTAATATATGAAGGCAAGATAAGGATGTACAGATATAACAATGGCTGTTCCCAAACCAGGACTATAATCTATAAGAGATAAAGGAAAACTAAAGTTAAAAACTTTCAGACAATGCAGTATAATATTTTGGTACATGTTACTTTAGGAGAACAGTGACATTTTTCTGCTTTCAGTTAGTATTGCTTATATGGACAAATGACCTTGTTGGGGGCTTACAAAGTGTGGGTAAGCTCTACGCCGTATGACAAACATATTTGGTGAGTTTATGGAGTATATCTTCCTGCTTTTTTATGAATTTCCAAACTTTCATCTGTCACTAGCCTCATTTGAACGACATGATATCAAGATATGGAGTACAAAATAAGGTACAATGGGACGTTAGAAAGATCGGGAAAACTTATTAGAATCAGCGCACATGGAAAAATATCACTGGATACAACGAAGCTTAGTAAGGTACACCTTCATTAAGGTGGTAGACACGAGTCCTTGCTTCTGGATAAAAACAGATCTACCAAGCCCAGAATTGACCACTAGTTACCCAATTGGCGAATTTTCACTATTTTTGCAAACGTACAGTATTTCGAAATTAACCTTAAAACCTTAAGTTCTCTACATCAACACTTTCTCGGTGAAGTAACTAGTTCTTGAACTCAAGTCAATAACTTTTCACGAAACGCAAACAAGCTGTTATATTACTTTACGGCTGAACTTGGAAGCAGTGGAGCAAACGTAAAGTAACACCAAGTGCTAATGTAGCGCGTTCAGATCCAATATCCAATATCTTTTTCACGAGCTAGTGTAAACCAATTTGATTTCTTCGCGCTCGATTCTTGTTCTTTCAGTACGGTTCTAGGTGTTCGGTAATGTCCAATGGACGGAGGTCTAGCCACTAGACTGTCTAATTCTAGTCAGTTGGCAGTTGGTTGTGAGTTTGTATGTCTCGGGATTTCAATGAAACGTTTGTTTCAGGGCAGTAGGTTTTCTGGATACTAGCAGCCGTCACATTACGAAACCGGAGATCAGTTATTTGCAATGTGGAGAGTAATAAGGGTAATAAGGATAAAATTCTAATTATAATATGAATAAAATTTCAGAACTGAGTAATATATAGATGAATTTAGTTTGTTAATTGGTAGTGAGGATTGTGATAGAGGACCGAAGTGTAAGCAAGGGAGAGGAAACAGAGATAATAGGCGAGATATATTAATTGAGTGATCTGAGGAGATGGCAATGGTAACAACTAGCAGGTCTCAAGATATGCATCATGAACAGCTTGTCGAAGAGGGAGATGATAGTCCGTATGTGAGTACGTGATTATCAAATCTCTTCTTAAAGCAGTCCACTAAGGGGGCTGTAACTACCTCGGCTGGGAGAGCATTCCAAGTTGCGACGACTCGCAATGAGAAAAAGTGTGCACGAATCTGAGTATTCGCTCCTTGATATGCAATCTTTTGAGAATTGCCTCGAGGGGACTGGTGGTGATGCATCGGTAAGATGCTCATATTGGGATGGTTTGGCGTGTTTAATATGGTGTACGCCATAATCAGGTCACCTCTGATTCTCCTGTAGCTCAGTGGGAATAATCCCAAGAGCTGGAGTCTGTCGTCGTAGGGTTTATTTTTCAACAATATCACCCATTTGGTTGCTCGTCTCTGCACTCGATCCAAGAGATTAATGTCTCTTTTAAGCAGAGGGGGTGCGATGACGTTGTGAACTTCCAAGTGTGGGCGTGCGTACGTCGTAAAGAGGGTTAAAAATAATTTCGGGGTTATAGCACCAAGCTGTCTTCGCATAAAGTGAAGAGTCGCATTTGCCTTGGCTGCATCCCTTACATAGTTCGGACTCGTGTGGAGGCTTTCTGTGGTTATTAAACCAAGATCGCGCTCTGAGGAGACATTAGGGAGCCGACTTCCATTGAGAGTGTAGGTGGTTTGCGTCATATGAGGCAGGAAATGCATGACGTGGCACTTCAGTTGGTTGAGTTTTAAACCGTTTTTCACTGCCCATAGTTCACACTGCTTCCGTATCTAACAGCAGGGACCTGTGTATATTTAACTGGCTGAGGAATACTAGTAGATTGTGATGAATTACTTTTCGAGGCCTTCAAGCGCACCCAATATCTTTTACGAGCAAATATAAATCAACTGATTTCTTTGAGTTCGATTTTTGTTCTTTCGGTAAGGTTCCAGGTGTTAGGTAGTGTCTGATGAATGGGGGTCTACCCTTTTGATTGTCTAATTCTATTTAATTGGCAGTTTTGTGTGGATTTTCATGTCTCGAGATTTGTTCGGTAAAATAAACGTCTTAGATAGGGGGTACTAGTTGTCTCTAAAATCCGCCTGACAACTGAAGTTAGTTTGGCTTTAACGCTATCTGAAATGAGTGAATAACAGCTTGTATCTACTGGGGAGCCATGTTGCTGTCCAATGTTGTGTAAAAAGTGGTTTAACTCCTGTTGATCGGCTATGTGACCGAATTCGAAACTCGCCTTTTTAGAAAGTTTTGGTGTTCGAAACAGAAACACTAATAACTATAGTATGTATAATGTGCCTGTTAAACTTACGCAGTAGTGCCTTTACGATAGCGACGAACTGCACACCTTGGTCCGTCACTGCGTGCATGTGGTAGTCGACAGAACCAGGTAGGACAGTCAGGACAGATTGACATGAGTTGGATGTTCAGATGCTCAGTCCTTTCAATCCTAGACGGTTGAAGCGTATGTTCCAGTGTCGATATGAACGAATACGTTGTATGCAGTACAGTTTGGTGATCTGATGCGGATGCGTGACCAAGCTCCTTAAGATTGAGTGTGTCAGGCAAAACTAATGAGGTCAGCATCAATGTCAGAGACTGATAGGACTATTTACTGGTCACTGAAGTGCCTTATTCTGATGTTAGGTTGATTCAGACAGTGAAATAACTCAGTCTAAGTGTTTCGGATCTAGGTTGTTTAATGCAGATACATTACATACTAGTGAGTTTAGGCTATAATAGAAATATTTCGAGCATCCTCCACCTCGTCCTTGTAACCTGCAACTTGAGAATAGTAAACAGCTTTCGAAAAACCCAATTAATACCGGTAGTCATCACTTCAGATATCATAATAAATGGATGTTGATAAACAGATGCAAACATTGCTATTATTATTATTATTATTATTATTATTATTATTATTATTATTATTATTAGTCAATACAGTAGTAAGTCAAGATAAAATTCATACTGACCACTTAAGTTAAAGTAAATTATGGGAATATAAGAATATAACACACAGATAAAGGAGTACAGCGAAAAAGAAGTAAGAGTTGTGCTGTGTCAGGTGGACAGAAGAGAAGTCGAAGTAAGAAGCTGGATTTATGTACGTTGAAATCGAAAGAGTAGAGTTTGTAAAAAGAAAACTTTGATGAATAAAATTTCGCACTGTCTAACTGTTTTATTATTATTATTATTATTATTATTATTATTATTATTATTATTGAATGCCAACCTCTAAGTCATACTGTTAGCGCCTGAGTAAGAATGTTGAGGGTGTCTCGACAGAATAGCGACCTCAGCATAGTTTTGGAAACATGAACCACAGAAGTAGCAAGCGTATAAGAGCAACCTCAGTGTTACTGATTAGTCGTCTCATCAACCTAAAGAGCCGAAAGCAAACAAAATTTTCTGCCCCACAAACATGGGTTGTTTGAAGTTATCGCCCACACCATCAATGTTTGCTGGTCAGTAACTCCACCCTCCCTCCTTTTGTGTTGTTAGGCTCATGTGAAAATGTTTAAAAGAAACTATTGCTTTCTACTTGGTGCTCTATGTCTCTCATCCTGTTGAGAAACACTATTTCTGCAAGTTCCTTTCACAAACTTGTCTGGCTGTTACAACTTATGAACTATTGGTTAGGCATCAATGCTATACAGTTAACAGTTATGGAGAAATAGTAAGGATTTTCAAACAAGATATAAGCATTTAGAATGTAGTGGGGAGATGTACTTAACTAGCTAAGCAGGAGATATAAAGCGTATCACGGTTAAAAGTTGAGCAATATATAACACTAAGGGATCAAGGTAAGTCAATAGCGTGTGTAGAATCTTTTTTGAATGTTTTGTTTTTTGGAAAATCCCTCCATGTATATATATTTGTGTTATGATATGACTGACTCTTTCTGTTGACATTTTGGTACTCTATTTGATTCCATTTTGAGATTTTATAATTGTATATGGTTATTATTTCTATATCTTGTACTTATATTGAAGTTTTTATGTTTGCTTCTGAACTGTACATATGTTGTTTTAATTTGATATTTAATATGGCTACAGCCATATTTGGATTTGATACCGTAGCATAACGGACTGGAAGCACTTATTCTTCCAGAAACCGATACCCACCGCGGTAAATTGGATTGTTACGTCCAATTTTTTGCTCTTTGATCCTTAGAAGCACAGTTGTCGATCTATTCGCAATTCACGATCCCAAATATTAAACCAAAAGGAAATTCCAAAGTAGATACCAAAGTTTATTACCATTTCACCAATAATCGACCAAAATGTGTTTATTACAAATAGACGACCAATGTCGTTCTAACAACAATAATCATAATAATTACAATTACCTTCTATTTTATAGGTTTCTGGAGCAAAAAGCTGCAAACGAACAACCAAGAGAAACAGGAGTCCAAAATGGCCGAAAATAATCATTCAAACAAGTTCATAAGTTAAGTAAAACAAATATACCCAAAAAACACAGTGAAATTAATGATATTTATATAAAGGTTTTAACTAGCCAAATGTCTTCATTCCCCCCGTAATAGGATTTGCAAGGTCTAATATTGTTGGGTACTTGTCTCTATTTCCATTTTATATAAAATAAAGACCGTTTTCTCCCAGAATTACTGTGTTTTGGTATCGGATCTGGGACAGCACGTACCAACCTGCATGTTTTGGAGCCGGAGTGAACTGCTAGGGTAGAAAATCCATTTATAGCGTGTGACTGAGAACAGTATAATTGATAATAGGCAATTTGAAACTCACACAGTTGTAAGTGTTGATAAGGTTGCGCCCAGGAGAGCAGAGTGCATTCTAATCAACCAGTTTACAGTTGAACAGTGTCGATCGACCCAGTGAATAGAGTAACCTGTATATTTCAAATAAAAACTAAAGAGATTTATATTCAAAAAGAAAAATTTAATGCTTTCGACAATGTACCTTACAATCTCTTGATCAACAAGCTTCAGTCCGTCTGGATAACTGGCCACCCGTTGCGCGCGAACTCTGAAAGTGGTAACTTTTTTTCACGTGGTATAGTGTTTTTCTGAAATTTATCATTCGTAGGGTATTACACTGATTTAGTAGAATTTATCTATTGTACCCGGTGCACTTTGCTTCTAGAAAGCAAACCTCCTAAGTTTTTAATCAGTTAATACATACTTGTCGTTTGATAACGATTTTAACTTCTGAATACACTAGTTTAAGCCTACTTACAGT